GATTGCACCACTGCACTCCAGCCTGGGCAACAAGGCGAGACTCTGCCTCAATAAAAAAAAAAAAAAAAAAAGAAATACAACTGACTTTTGTGTGGTGGCCCTGAGGCCTGCAGCTGACGTCCAGCTAAGGCGGGCACAGAAGCTGTGGCTTCTCCTTCCCTTCTGCTTGTCACCCTCACCTGGAGGGCCATGGGGCTCCCCCTGAGATGGCTCTGAGGAACCCAGTGGTCAGGGCATCTGAAACTCCCCAGGCCACAGAACCACAGGTGCTGGTTTCTGAGTGAATCTGCCAAGCTGACGGTGTGGCGCTGGTTCTGACCCAGGCGCACAAGCCGGGGAAGGGTGTGCCTGCCTTCCTAGCTGGCTCTGTCCACAGGGCAGTTCCTCATCAACAGGTGGATACTCTGCTGCTATCGCTCTTTCTTATCAACTCACCCTCTGCTTTCCACCAAAGGAACATTAATCACACCGATGTAAGAGTCTATCAAGTAATTACACCTTTTAGTGCGCTGATAATTTCTTCTCCAGCTGGCACTAACAGTCAATCAAAATGCCATAAAAGGTGCTTCCGATGAGCCGATGAATCCCTGCATCCACCAGGCATTGTGGGAGCTGTTCAACTCTTGGCACCAGGAGCTTTCATACAAGCGCCTGGCGGCTCCTCTGTGGGGCTGGCTCCTCTCCCTGGAGCTCTGCTTCTCTCCCAGGGCTTCGGCCTGACACTGCCGTGCATAGAGCCCTTTGAAATGCCGCATACGCTTCTGTGTATATTCAAGTCAGCAGAGCGTGGAACCTAAAACTAAGTCCTGGACGGATCAGGACCCACAGCCTGTGAGAGTGTCTGTACTCTGGCTGGAGACAACGAAGCATCTCAATGTCCCGTGAAAAGGAGCCATGGAAACATTTCTAGTCTTTCTAATTAAATGGAAAAATAAACCCGGAGTCAGCATCCCACTTTCCTGTGGGATCTGGACGCTGGCTGCAGCTATGCCCTCCTCCAACAAGCCATGGCCAACTGTCCGCAGCCACTCACCCACCCCTCCCCGCCAGACCCGGCCGCACCACTTTCCGGGAAGGCTCCGCAGCCCCACCCTCCAACGCCAGGGGACCGGGGCCCGACCCACACTTCCGGAAGGCTCTCAGGCGCACTCAACCCACCACCTCCGCCCAGACCCGGCCCGAACCAACCTTCCGGAAAAAGGCTTCTGCAGGCCAACTCACCCACCACCTCGCCAGGACCGGCCCGACCACCACTTTCCGAAGGCTCTTGCAAGCCACTCCACCCACCACCTTCCGCCAGGACCCGGGCCCCAACCCACTTCCGGGTAAGGCTCTGCAGCACACTCCCCCACCCCTCAGCCAGGGACCCGGCCTGACACCACTTCCAGAGGCTCTGCAAGCACTCACCCACCACCTCAGTCAGGACCCGGCCTGACACCTTTTCCAGAGAAGGCTCTGGCAGCCCACTCCACCCACCCACCTCAGCCCAGGAACGCCGGGCCGACACCAACTTCCCGGGAAGCTTCCGGCACTCACCCACCCCTCAGCCAGGACCCGGCCCGACACCACTTCCGGAAGGCTCCGCAGCCACTCACCCACCCCTCAGCCAGGACCCTGCCCGACCTAGAGTAAACACCCAAGACTCCCCACAGCCCCAGAAAACCAACCTGTCAGGGAGGCACTGGTACCCACCATCCACAGGTGTGCAGTGACGTCATGGACGGGTGCCCACCACCCCTGTGAGGCTGGAGCAGAACACCTGGGTTGAAGCTGGCATGCCGCAGAGGGCAGGGAGGAAAGCGGGAGCCTCCCTGCCCGGGACAACCCTCCGGACACCTTGTCCTGGGGGGTGAGAGGGGCCCTGGTGCTGAGGTCCCTCTCTGCGGGTCTCCTGCTCGTGCAGCTGAGCCTGCAGTGACCCCTCCCAACCCCGGCAAGTGCTCATCATGAGATGCCATGTAACCCTCCCAGAAAAGGAATAAAGGGAATCAGGTGCTCGCGTACCACCAGGGAGCCCCATTTTCCTCAAGAAACGGCCAGTCCACTTCATGCACAGCTGACGTTTCTGCAGCACTGGTGAAGGGCTGGTGCTGGTGAGACACAAGGTATGTGGGTGAGGGGGGCAGAAAAGGAGGGCACTGGGGAAGATAGGAGCCACAGGGGGATGGAGCTCTGAGCTGAACGAGACAAAAAGAAGAGCTATGCCCAGACATGGCATCACGGTGCAGGGAACACATGGTGAGGAATGGGCCCAGACAGCCCCTCACAGCGCACCAAACCACACTACCCGCTACACCAAGCTACGCTACACAGAACCACGCTACACACTACACTGAACCACACTACAGACTACACTGAACCACACTACACACTACACTGAACCACACTACACTGAACCACACTACACGCTACACTGTCACGCTACACCGAACCACACTACAC